GCCAAACCTAAGTTTTTTTAAAAAAGCATATGATCATCTTAATGATGCAGAATATACAATTGATAAAATTCAACATGTATCTACACCAAAAACAAATTTGGAATCGAAGACAACATTTTATCTACTAAGTGACATCTACAAAAAAACCTGCAGCAAACATCATAGGGAAAAATGAAATGTTGACAGCAATCACTTTAAAAACTAAATTGACCCAATGCAATTGAATCAATGCAATCGCAATCAAAATCCCAACAGGCTTTGTGCACCTGTGTGTGTGATTTGACAAGATGATTCTAAAAATTTACATAGAAAACACAAAGGCAAAACAGCAAAGACATTCCTGGGAGAAGATCAAGGCAGGAGGACTTGTCCTACCAGCTATAAAGACTTCTCATATTGGCTGGGCGCGGTGGCTCATGCCTGTAATCCCAACACATTGGGAGGCTGACGTGGGCAGACTGCATGAGCCCAGAGTTCAACACCAGTCTGGGCAATATGGTGAAACCCTGTCTCTACTAAAAATTAAAATTAAAAAAACATTTGCTGGGCATGATGGTACATGCCTGTAGTCCCAGGTACCTGTGATATTGAGGTGGGAGGACTGCTTCAGCTCGAGATGTCGAGGCTACAGTGAGTCATGATTGTACCACTGCACTCCAGCCAGGGTGGCAGAGTGAGACCCTGTCTAAAAACACACCAAAACAAAAAAAAAGCACTTCTTATAAAGCTAGAGTAACGAGTCAAGTGTGGTAATGGTACAGAGACAGACAAATAAGACCAATCAATGGAACAAAACAGAGAATTCAGAAACGGAAAGGTACATGTACATGGATACTTGATGGTGGAGGGAAGCAAACTTTCCAATAAAATGTGCCAGGAAAACTTGTTATCCATATGTGAAAAAAATGAGTAAAATTTGATTCTTACCTCACACTATACACAAACATCAATTCTGAAGGGATAAGGTCATAATAAGGAAAAATACTCTAAGACTTTTAGACAATATACAGAATATATTTATCACCTGAGGGTAGGGAAAGATTTCTTTAAGAGATACAAAAATTACAGGTGATACAGGAATATACTGATAAATTTGACTTTTGTTAAAGTTAAGGGCCTGTATTCACCAAAAATACCAGAAAGGTGGGGGTTAGGGGATACAACTGGAGGGTATTTAAAACAAACATAAGCTACATAATACAAAAGATTCATATTCAGACTATATAAGGAATTCCTACAAATCAGCATGGGAAAGGCAACTGTGAAAGAGGAATGGGCAACAGAAATTTTACAAAAAGAGGATGCATAAATGATGAATAAATACAGAAAAAAGATGCTCAATCTCAATGTTATCAGATAAATGATTATTAAAACCACAGTGAAGGAATGTCTTAGCCAACACCAGATAGGCAAAAATTTTAAAAGAATGTCTGAGGCTTAGGCTGAAACTTTCATCTGTTTTTCATCTGTTGCAGGAAGAGTATAAATTCTTTTTTTTTTTTCTTTGAGACAGGGTCTCATTCTGTTGCCCAGACTGGAATGAAATGACACAGTCATAGCTCACCGCAGCCTTGACCTTGTGGGCTCAGTCGATCCTCTGATCTCAGACCCCCCTAGAAGCTGTGACTACAGGCACACACCACCATGCCCAGCTAATTTTTGTATTTTTTGTAGAGATGGGGTCTCACCTGTTGCCCCAGCTGGTCTCATACTACTGGACTCAAGTGATCCACCCAACTTGGCCTACCAAAGTGCTGGGATTACAGGTGTGAGCCACCACACCAGGCTGAGTATAAATTACTGTAACCATTTCAGATAACAGTTGATATTACTAGCAAATTTGCATATCCCCAGAAATCTATTAGGTATATACCTTACAGAAACTTCCACTTTTGCGCTAGGAAATATGTTTTTACAGAAGCACCGTGTAATAACAAAAGCCTGGCAACAGTATAAATGACTACCAACTGAAGAACTACATTAAAACAATGTAATTATCTCATAGAATTCAAATCAGCAATGAAGATAAAGTAGAGCTCCTCACATCAACACACATGCTTCTCAAAAAGATAACGTTAAGTGCAAGCAGCAAGTCACACAAAATATATTTTAGGATCCTATCATATAAAATCGAACTCAGCAAAAGCATACATTATATTCATTAGAGATACGAACATACATCGCAAAAACTACAAAGCAAAACAAAGGAACAAGTAACACAATATTCAGAGTGGTAGTTATCTTTGAGGAGGGAAGAAAGGATTCAGTGGGGGGTTTGGGGATCTGAAAATGTCTATTTCTTAACTTGGTGGCAGGTACATGAGCGTTCATTTCATTTTTGTCCTTCAAACTTATACTTCCACACAACTGTATAGGTATGTTACATACAATGTTTTTAAATGTGATGGGCCGGGCATGGTGATTCACACCTGTAATCTCAATACTTTGGGAGGTCAAGGTGGGGGGACTGCTTGAGACCAGGACTTTAGGACCAGCCTAGGCAACATAGCAAGATCCACTCTCCACAAAAAAAAAAAAAAGTAACGTGAATATGTTAAATAACAGCCAAAATAAATGTAAATGAGAATGAGAACAAGATACGATTGAATGCTATGATTTGGTGGAAAAGGGGCGGGAAAGTAGGAGTGGAAGAAAGACAACCATAAGTTTGTTTATGCATATTGTATCCCTTGTCTCTATGAGAAGAGACTGTGGAGAGAATGGTGGGATTAGCCATAGACATACATGTATCACCTACTTAAATAATTCTATTTTATACAAAAATTAGCCAGGCATGGTGGTGCACGCCTGTAATCCCAGCTGCTCAGGAGGCTGAGGCAGGAGAATCGCTTGAACCCAGGAGCTGGAGGTTGCAGTGAGCCAAGATCGCGCCACTGCACTCCAGCCTGGGTGACAGGGTGAGACTCCATCACAAAAAAAAAATATATATATATATATATTTGTATTAATTAAAAGTTTATTGGCTTTAAATGTACATCAGTAAATTTTTAAATGCTAAGAATTTATGATAAAAGAATACCGAACCAAAACATCAAAGAAAATAGAGGCTCAGCAGCATGATTTCAATATATTTTCCTGGATAAACATTTATTTTTTTTAAGTCTATGCCTTTTTATTTAAGAACAAAAACTCCCTAAATTCAACGTTTAGAATTGAATTTTTTTTTTAACTAAGCCCAGAAAAATGGGGCTCATAAAATAAAGGCACAATGTGGGCAGCAAAAGAAAAAAGGAGAAAAAATGGGAGAAAAATTGGTTTTAATCCCATGTATAACATATTGTCTTGTTTTGTTTTTGTTTTAGACAATTTAAGGCAGAATTATCTCTCTGCAACCCTGCAGATAAATCCTAGTATTTTAGCTTTAAGTTTCAAGAGTTCAGATATACAGATAAACCAACTAAAGAAAACCTTTTCTAAGGCTTTGAAGCATTATATAAATCTTTAAAATTCCTATCACCCACATTTTAAGAAATACATCTATACTTTTAATTAATTAATGCATTTAATTCATTTAATAATAAATTTATTTAAATTTAATAATTTTGAAATATAAATGTTTGTGGAATAAGTAAATCTCAGTCATACCATTCGTGCAGGTGCTAACACAATTCTTGTGCTTCACATGCACGACATCATTTAACCCCAACCAGCACCTTATGAGCAAAGGATCACTGACCCCATCTTACAGATGAGGAAACTGAGACTAAAAGGGCACAAGGTGACACACAAGAGTTGGTGGCAGAGAGAGACGTGACCATACAACAGCACGGTTCCTGTTCTCAAAGACACTCTCTTATCCAGCGAGAGTGAGAAAAGTGAGTGAACAGAACAGCAACAATCCAGGTCCCTCATCTGCAACCCTCAAATCTAAAAAGGTATGAATACTAGTGGATGATCGGATGCAGGGGAAAAAAAAAGTCTGAATACCAAAACTTGTTTCTTACTTTGGAGAACTTGACCTGACTTAAGGTGAGGCTATCCATGGTTATTTATCCCAACAGTGTAAATATATGCATATCTTTTTTTTTTTTTCAGACGGAGTTTCGCTCTTGTTGCCCCAACTGGAGTGAAGTGGCGCGATCCTGACTCACTACAACCTTCGCCTCCCTCGTTCAAGTGATTCTCCTGCCTCAGCCTCCCGAGTAGCTGGTAGTACAGGCACGCGCCACCACGCCCGGCTAATTTTTTGTATTTTTAGTACAGGCGGGGTTTCACCATGTTAGCCAGGCTGGTCTGGAACTCCGGACCTCAGGTGATTCGCCCGCCTCAGCCTCCCAAAGTGCTGGGATTACAGGCCTGAGCCACCGCGACCCGGTCAATATAATATATGCATATCTTCATATCTTTAGCTGTGGAAAGGGTCGTGTATTTGATTGCAAGCCGCTGCTCCAGCCCCCACTGAGGGTGAAACCTAACATAGAACATACGCACTTTACCTTTCCAAAGTCCGAGAAATCCTCGATTTTAAACGCATCTGGCCTCGGGGCTGTAACACAAGCGGCTGCGGACTTGTACAAAGTGAGAAACTCCGTACACAAAAACAGAGGGGAGCACGGAGGGCGGCGGGACAGACAGGGTGGTCGGCGAAGGCTGTGTTTTCCATAGATGTAATCACAGTTTGAATCGAATTTTATATTTTGCTTTTTCACCTATTACGATGAAAAGTATCCTTACCTGTTAAATCGTAATTACGATTAAAAATATTTTTCACTAAATAGTACTATTTTTAGATGTCTTTGTGTGTGTTGTGGGAGGAGATCCCAGTCCGCTGCCTTCTGCGGCCCCTCTCTGGGCCTCAGTTTCCCCATCAAGAAGGGGGAGCCCCAAGACCCCCGTCCCCGAGTTCCACAGCCCACGAGGATAGACCACGGGGCCAGACCCCACTGCCTGTCTCGCCCACCCCACCTTCCGTCCTCCCCTCGCCTTCCTCGAAGTCCCTCTTCTTTCCCCTCTACCCCCTAGCGCGCCGCGTTACCCACCAGGGTGCCCAAGCGCAACCCGCGCTGAGCTAGCGGATACGGTCGCAAGGCGGACTCTTCTTCCTTTGGGGCGGGGCGAACGCGAACGCGGCGTTCCCGTTGGTGGCCTGCAGACGATTCGCCCGTCCGTTGGGTGACGCACTTCCGGTTTTCCGTTTGCGCCGTTTCCCTAGTGTTTCCGCCTCGTGGGTTAGATCCCAATTACTGCGCCGCTCTCCATCCTTAATAATGGGAAGGGGCTTCCACTTGTCGCCCTCCGCCTCCTGCACCTCAGTGACTTCCCTGACCAAGGAGGAAGAATCGGCGCGTAGCCCGTGCTTCCCCCACTGGCCACGATTCCGCCGGCACAATGTAGTGCCCTGCCCCGGGCCTCAGTTTCCCCATCAGTGGAACTGACAGTGTGGCCTCGTCGTCAAAAATGTGGACTCTGGCCGGGCGCGGTGGCTTATGCCTGTAGGCCCAGCACTTTGGGAGACCAAGGCGGGCCGATCACTTGAGTTCAGGAGTTCGAGACCAACTTTGCCAACATGGTGAAACCCCCGTCACTACTAAAAGTACAAAAATTAGCTGGGCGTGGTGGTGTGTGCCTGTAATCCCAGCTACTCGGGAGGCTGAGGCAGGAGAATTGCTTGAACCCGAGAGGCAGAGGTTGCAGTAAGCCAGATCGCATCACAGCACTCGAGCCTGGGTGACAGAGCAAGACTTAGTCTCATAAAAAACAAAAGAAAAATGTGGACTCTGTGGTCATACAGCCTGAGCTAGAATCCTGGCTCTGCCACTTACTAGTTGGCAGAAGCTTGGGCAAGTCATTGAGCCTCAGTTTCCTCTTCCATTAAATGGGGATATTAGTCCTTGCAAAATAGTGTTGGTGAGATTTAGGTGCTTAGCATAGCCACTGAAAAGTGTCACATGGGAGTGCTGATTAAATGTTAACTATTATCTTACCTAGGGATTGTGAGAAAGCAAGTGAAATTACTCTTGGAAGTGAATAGACTTCACTTTTTGAATCTTCAAGGCATTAATTTTCCAAACGTTTGTATACTATCCCTAGTCTGAGAGCTAGGGATGCAGCCTAGCAAGGGAAACAGGTAACTAATATAGAACAGCGGTACCTGCAAATGTCTGTCTCTGTGAGGATAACTCAAATACAGGCTTGGTCACTCACCACCCCTGTGATCTTGGACAACCTTTTTTTTTTTTTTTTTTTTTTGAGACGGAGTCTCGCTCTGACCCCCAGGCTGGAATGCAGTGGCGCCATCTCGGCTCACTGCAAGCTCCGCCTCCCGGGCACACGCCATTCTCCTGCCTCAGCCTCCCAAGTAGCTGGGACTACGGGCGCCCACCACCACGCCTGGCTAATTTTTGTATTTTTAGTAGAGATGGGGTTTCACCGTGTTAGCCAGAATGGTCTCCATCTCCTGACCTCGTGATCCGCCCGCCTCGGCTTCCCAAAGTGCTGGGATTACAGGCGTGAGCCACCGCGCCCGGCCTGATGTTGGACAACTTCTTAACCTCTCTGGGCTTCAGTTTCATCTGCCAAGTGGGAAAGCAGTAGTGTGTGGTGATTAAAACCTTGAGCTTTGGAGCTGGATGGTCAACATAGAATCCTGGGCCTTAAACTCAGTATCTCCAAGACACAGGACAAAGTATAGTAAGCCGTCCCTGTTTATAGGTTCCCCATCTACGGATGGATAATATTTGTGGAGGAAAAACAATAAAAATAACAATACAAAAATAAAAATAATACAAATTCTGAAAGCAATACAGCATAGCAACTACTTATATAGCATTTACATTGTATTAAGTAGTATAAGTAATTTAAAGATGACTTTCAATATACTGGAGGATTTGCGTAGGTTATATGCAAATATTCTGCCATTTTGTATGCGCCCAGTGGGTTCTCCTTGCCTGCTGCCCAGACAGAAGCAATTTATCAAGACAGGAGAATTGCAATAGAGAAAGTTTAATTCACACAGAGCTGGCTGAACAGGAGATCACAGTTTTATTATTACTCAAATCAGTCTCCCCGGAAATTCAGGGTTTTCGAGGATAATTTGGTGGGTAGGGGACTGGGGATTAGGGAGTGTTGATTGGTCGGATTAGAGAGGAAAGGAGTCAAAGCTGTCCTCTTGCACTGAGTCAGTTCCTGGGTTAAGGCCAAAGTACCAGGTGAGCCAGATTACAGGGCTGGGTGGTGTCAGCTGATGCGTTAGAACACAGGTTCTACAAAATATCTCAAGCACTGATTTTAGGTTTTAGAACAGTGATGTTACTCCCAGAAGCGATTTGGGGTGGGTCAGAATCTTGCAGCCTCCAGCTTGCGTGACCTCCTAAACCATAATTTCTAATCTTTTAGCTAATTTGTTAGTCTACAAAGGCAGACCCGTCCCTAGGCAAGAAGGGGATTTGTTTTGGGAAAGGACTATTATTGCCTTTGTTTCAAAGTTAAACTATGAACTAAGTTCTTTCCAACATTAATTCAACCTATGCCCAGGAATGATCAAGGACAGCTTGGAAGTTAGAAGCAAGATGGAGTCAGGCCAGATCTCTTTCACTATCAGAATTTTCTCAGTTATGCTTTTTACCAAGGTAGTTTTGATTTTATATAAGGGACTTGAGCATCGAGAATTCTGGTATCCATGGGGACTGAGGTACCAATCCCTCACAGATACTAAGGGATGACTGAACTCAAGTTCTCAGCCTCAGTTTGCTCATCTATAAAGCAGGTTTAATAATAGCACTTTGTTGATAGTGTTATTCTGAAGATTAAAGGAAGAGAAGATGTAAACTACTTAGAAGAGTGTCTGTGGCACATTGTAAGCCCTCAATAAGTGTGAACTAACACCACTAATAAGTACTTTATAAACTGCCCAACAGGTAGTCAAATAAGTGGGGAAATAAAGCCCTAAGGAGTAACATTTGTGTTTTGTTTGCCCTACACGGTTTTGTGAAATTTTCTATTGATTATCAATATTTAAACTTGGGGTTTTTGATCTTTGACTGGGCACGGTGGCTCATTCCTGTAATCCCAACACTTTGGGAGGCCAAGCTGGGAGGATGGCTTGAGCTCAGGAGTTTGAGATCAGCCATGGCCAACATGGTGAGGCCCCATCTCTCCAAAAAAAAAATATATATATATATATATGTGTGTGTGTGTGTGTATATAGGTATGTATATTTGTGTATATGTGTATATATATACGTGTGTATATTTGTGTGTATATATATACACACACACAAAAAAAAAATTAGCCAGGCATGGTGGCGATCGCCTGTAGTCCCAGCTACTCAGGAGGCTGAGGTGGGAGGACAGCTTGAGCCAAGGAGGAAGAGGTTGCAGTGAGCTGAGATTGCATCACTGCACTCCAGCCTGTGTGACACAGCCAGACTCTGTCTCAAAAATAAATAAACTTGGGATATTTCACATAAAACCCTACTGTAGCTGACTACTCTGGAAAAGTGGGAAAGTCTGACGACAATGGGCCAGCCTTCCCCCTTGGCAACACTCATTCAGAGCTTGAGAGGGACTGTCCCTTTTTGTGAAGCATGTGCTTCCCTGGTGTGTGGAGAGATAAAAGAATAGAAGACTCTGGGAACACGGGTATTTCAAGATCAAAGGATCAAGAATAAAAGGTAGAAAGAAAAGAAAGATTCAAGACTGAGGGGGTTGGTCTTTCACTTGAAGACCATAGAAGTGATGGAAGACCAGGAAGAAATAGGAAGAAATGAGAGGTTTGTGTTTTAGAAAAAGAACTTGGGTGTATCTATTCTTTTCAAACATTATTGGAACATTTACAAAAATTGATTACTGGCCACAAAGGAAGCTTCAAGAAATTCTCAAGAATCTATAGGCGACATTCATGAGCCACATGCTGTGAAAGTGGCATCAGAGGCACAAAGGAAGAGAGACTTGTGAAGGAGGGTGTGGTCAGAATCGTCAGTGCTCTGGAGAGGTCAAGAAAGATGCGCCACTGATTTAGAATTTGATGGCCAACAAAGGCCGTCTTACCAGAGAGGGGAGGAAGCCGGATCCAACTCCGAGAGTGAAGAGCGGAAGTTGCGGAAGTGGAGAGGGAATGCTGACTGCTCTTTTGGGAAGCATGGCTTCGGAAGGGAAGACTTGAAGACTCAGGAGCAGAGATAATAATACATAAAATAGAAACAGGCAGCCGGGTGCAGTGGCTCACGTCTATAATCCCAGAACTTTGGGAGGCCGAGGTGAGTGGATCATGAGGTCAGGAGTTCGAGACCAGCCTGGACAATATGGTGACACCCTGTCTCTACTAAAAATACAAAAATTAGCTGGGCGTGGTGGCGCATGCCTGTAGTCCCAGCTACTTGGGAGGCTGAGGCAGAAGATTCGCTTGAACCCGGAAGGCAAAGGTTGCTGTGAGCCGAGATCGAGCCACTGCACTCCAGCCTGGGCGACAGAGCAAGACTCTGTCTTAAGAAAAAAACAAAAACAGAGAGACAGAAAGGGATGGAGTCAACGGTATATGGAGACAGGATTACTGTTAACCTAGAGGAAAAGAAACACCTCTGAAACAGCGGGAAAAGAGGTGAAAGTGGCTAAATAAAAGCTCACTCCTGATGCTTTCCGTTTTCTCCATAAAGTAGCAAAGAGTATCATTCTGTGGCTGAAGAGGGCCTGGCGTGGTGGCTCACACCTATAATCCCAGCACTTTGGGAGGCTGAGGTGGGAGGATTGCTTGAAGTCAGGAGTTCGAGACCAGCCTGGGCAACACAGCAAGACCTCATCTCTACAAAAAAAAAAATTAAAAATTAGCTGAGTGTGGTGGCATGTGTCTGCAGTCCCAGCTACTTGGGAGGCTGAGGTGGGAGGATGGCTTGAGCATGGGAGGTGGGGCCCAGGAAGTTGAGGCTGCAGTTGAGGTCAAGGTTGAGGGTTGGTGCCGCTGCACACCAGCCTATCCCAAAAAAGGTCAGGAGGTGCTGAGAAGATGCTAAGGGATTTAAGGGGAATGGGTCAAAAGGTTTGGAAGAGATGCTGACGACAATGCAGAGATGAGCTCCTAGCTGAGGTTGAAACCAGAAATGTGTAGAGATGACAGTCGGTTATCTGATTCCTCCCTCAACACTCCCATCCATATCCTGGGGGCTTCAGAGCAGAAGCTCAGCTTAGATTCATACTGAAGTCGGCCTTAGCTGGGCGTCTGCAACTGATTCATAGAAGTGGGCGTTAGCTGGGGATAAGCGACTGATTCATAGAAGGCCAAATGGTGGGAGAATGCTACTGTCAAGTGATCCACTGTGGATCTGGCAAAAATAAAAAGAAGGGAAAATGCTGACCAATTAAAATGGAAGCAGTACAGCAAG